ACCCACATGATGCCAGGGGTCCAACGGTGCCAGCACCTGGCACCTCTTCCCCCACGTCACGTGACAGTGGCGGTGCCAGCAGTGCGGGGCCCACAGCGCGGGGCCCAGGAGGAGGGCAGGGGCCGGGCGGACGGGCTTCGGTGCCTCTGTGCCTCGGGCTGTGAACCAGGGGCTCGCCCGTCGGCAGGCTGTCCGGGGACAGAACGCGCTGTGTGTGGGCAGCACTGGCACAGTACCCAGCGGCAGCGAGGGCTCAAGGCAAGGAGGCCACGGCAATTCCCGGTCTCCAGATATTTCCAGCGAGCAACAGTCACAGCTGTGCACGCTTACTCGGAGCTCGGGACCGGAAGTGGCCTAGAGTTTCTCCGGGTTCCGGAGCATTGGCGTAGGGGAGACTCAGTGAGAGATGCTGAGGGCTGACTTCTTCACACACACCGCGAGCAGAGCCTGACACGAGGTCTGGTACGGAATCTCTCTCTCTCTCTCTCTCCCTCTCCCTCCCTCATGCTGAGACTCAGAGTTGCAGACTTTGGAACATTTCAGACTGAGGGTGGACAGGTCAGGGATGATTTACCTGTATTTTCAGTAACGGCCAACAAACTACTCTTTGCAACCCGGAGATTACTCTCCCCCAAAAGATGCACCCACCCCGCCAGCAGATGGGTACCTTGTAGAGCAGCGGCACAGAGGGCCCCTGGTCAAACAGAAGGACGCGTGGCTTATTGTCCTGCCGCCAGCCGGAGAGGAATCGGACATAGTTTTTACTTGTAACCTTAAAGTGAAAACAGAATGTTAGACTCAACGGTTAATTCTTTTTTGGGGGGCGGGTACCGGGGATTGAACTGAGGACCTTGCGCTTGCAGGGCAGGTGGCTGAACCACTGAGCTAAATCCCAGCCCCCTAATGGTTAATTCTCTACAACTATATTGTACTCCAGTCAGGAGATGAACATGTGGAAAAGATTATTTGAAAAAATATAAAAAACACACACGTGGTGGTAAAAGCCTGTAATCCCAGCACTCGGGAGGCTGAGGCAGGAGGATCGCTGTGAGTTCAAGACCAGCCTGGGCTACACAGTGAGTTCCAGGTCAGTCTCAACTATATTGTGAGACCCTGTCTCAAAAAACCAAAACAGAAAAGAGCCAACTAATTCTTTTGATTGAAGCTATTCAAAGTATAAATAAAGGGCAAAGGGGCTGGGGATTTAGCTCAGTGGTTCCGCCGCCTGCCTCACAAGCACAAGGACCCGAGTTCGATCCCTGTTACCCCACCCCCCAGAAAAGGCAAAATAAAAAGACACGCTAGAACGGGGAGATAGACCTTTCACAAACGGGAAGGGGCCAAGAGAGGGAGGGAGGAAAGGGAGGGCAGGGGAGTAACAGGAGTGTGGATGTGTTACGTACACGCACAATCTCCTGACTACAAAATCCAGAAGGAGATGGAGATTTGATATTTCCATTTGCTTCAACTCTTACAGACTGAAATAATCATTGCTGCAGCAACTGTTGCCCTATTATAAAAGTTGGGCTTCTGAAATTGGCTCTTGCTGGTTAGACTGCACGCATGCGTGCCTGTGTGTACTCTACCGCCACGCCACAGAGCACGCTCCCTCCTCTGCTAACCTGCAGCCGGCACTGCAGCCCTTGCCCTCCTCCCTGTGTGCAGTGCCGGGCCCTGCACACAACTCCACTCCACCTGTGAGCTGTGCCGCCAGCCCGAACGCCATCTTTAAGGGTGTGCAGAAGAACAAGGGGCCTGTCCCACCTGTACACCATACGCTTCCACTGGTTACCACCCGAGCTCTTACGTTTTCATCTCCTGTCTCTCTTTTTATTTTTTGGTGTTTTGAGACAGGGTCTCACTGTGTAGTTGAGAATGACCTGGAGCTCACTGTGTAGCCCAGCCTGGTCTCGAACTCACAGCGATCCTTCTGCCTCAGCCTCCCAAGTGCTGTAAGTTTTTAAAGTTCCAAAAATAGTATTTGATTTCATAGACTATAATGCTTTCTTCGGAGATGACTGTTAAATATATACGTGACTTAATTTGAATATTTTCAAATTCATAAGACAAACATCTTTACATAAGCAAACTAACGAGCTGGAATACATCTCTTATCTTGGGATACAATCCAACTTTTGTTGCTTAGCTCTAGGCTCCGCTGGGTCCTGCAGGGGGATCCAGGCCCCTCCCGGCACTTGCCAGCCGCCCGTCCCGGTGGGCACTAACCTTCTCCACCAGGCTCCCCGGGAGCAGGCTTTCCACGAAGCGCCGCAGGTTCTCCTGGATCACGGCGTTGTGGAAGAAGGAGACCTTGCCGTTTATGACGCCCAGGATGGAGGGTGTGCTGTGGGCCCCCAGGTGGTGGGCCAGGCGCCGCTCGTACCCCGCGTGGACCACGCCGATGCCCACACCTGAAAGGCATCGGAGAGCTGCGTGAAGCCGCCGTGTGCCCATGGCAGCTGGAAGAAACACTGAGAAGTGTTTTTTTTTGTTTGTTTGTTTGATGCTAGTGTGAAGTTAGAGTGGACTTAACAGGAGAGAGTAACTTTCTACAGACTGTGGCCTCCCTCACTTGCTGGAATTCTAGGTTGGTCAGTTTTTCTGTGGCACAGTCTGGCAATATTTAAGAGGAGTTACAAGTCAGGTATGGTGGCACGTTACCTGTAATCCTAGCACTCTAGGAGGCTGAGGTAGGAAGATCGCGGGTTCAAACCCAGCCTGGGCAACTTAGCAAGACTCTGCCTCAAAAACAAAACAACAAACCAAAGAGCTGGAGACACAGCTTAGTGCCAAAGCCCTGGGTTCAATCCCCAGTACAGATTAAAAATAAGAGTTAGAAATCTTTATGTCATCCTCCTATCTATCTCTCTGGACAGGGTCTCACTATGTAGTTCAATCTGGCCTTGAACTTGTGGCGATGTTCCTGCCTCAGCCTCCCCAGTGCTGGGATTATACGTGTGCGTCACTGCGCCTAGCTCAGACAGACTAACTATTCTTAACACAATGGCCAGATGGTTCCTTCTAAAAGTGACAATAAATCTTACCACTTCTCTACCCAAGCCAAGCAAAGGCCTGATCTTTTCTCTTGGAATAAAACCCATGGCCCACAAGGGCGTGGCGCCCCCTGCACTCAGCTGGCTCAGTCCCCAGCACCCTTGTGATCCTCTGAACACAGTGGGGTGCTCCTGCCCTGGGGCCCTGGCGCTGGCTGCCCCTCCCACCGGGAGTGTGCACCTCTCAGGTGTTTGTGTAGCTGACTCCTCCACCGACTTCCGGTCCTTCTCCATGAGGCCGACCTGCCCCGCGGTCAGTGCTGTCCCCTCCCAGGATGCTCACTCGCCTCCTGCCCCCGTGTTTCCTGTCTTCCGTGGATGAACCCAGGGCCTTTGCATGTTAAGCACGTGCTGTGATCCAGACCCTGCTCACCACACACTGCCTCTTTCACTGTCTCCCCACTAGAAAGGAGGCCTCCTGAAGGCAGAGATCTTTGGTCAGTGACCCACTGGTGTGCCCTAACCAATTCTTTATTGTTATACATTGAAATTCTGGAAGAAAGAAAACAACAAACCGGTTTTCCTACTCACACAGCTGTTCACTTCTTCTTTTTTGGTACCAGGGATCGAACGCTGGTGCTTGTGCTTGCAAGGCAGGTGGTGGAACCACCGAGCTAAATCCCTGCCCTAGCCCTTCACTTCTGATACCAGGTATGCGGGGGCTTCTCTCGTACACCAAGGCGTCCCCAGAGGCAGCGACTGGGTGTCTCCCCTCCACTCACTCGGACACCACTGCCCTCCCTGGGCACAGCACACTCCAAGCCCCTGCCCGTGCCCTGCAACCCTTGACTCTGGAGCCCAGTAGCTCAGCGTTTTCGTGAGGGTCTCCTCATACAACCCAAAGGCCTCTCTCCCCTTCCTGGAGGACAGAGGTGGGGCTGAAATCCCACCCTCTAATCAATGTGTGGTCTTCCTGGTGATGCTCCCTACCCGGGAAGCCAGGAAGAGCGGCCTCCTTAGAATCAAAGATGTACCTCACTCAGGAAAACCCAAGCTAGAGGCTGTGCCAGCAACCAGCATCAAAGAGCAAATGCTGGGCCGGGCGTGGTGGCGCACGCCTGTAATCCCAGCACTCGGGAGGCTGAGGCAGGAGGATCGCTGTGAGTTCAAGACCAGCCTGGGCTACATAGTGAGTTCCAGGTCAGTCTCAGCTACCTAGTGAGACCCTGTCTCAAAAAAAAAAAAAAAAAAAAAAAACAACCAAAAAAACCCCCCAAAAAGACCAAATGCTAGAACACAAAGATCTCTTATGAGCTCCACACTAGGAACTGGGAACAAACAACAAAATACACCTATATTTACTATGAATCACAAGATCAAAAGTCACTTTTGAAACTGGGCATGGTGGGACACACCTGTAATCCCCACACTCTGGGAGGCTAAGGCAGGAGGATTGCAAGTTCAAGCCCAGTGTGGGCAGCTTAGTGAGACCTGGCCTCAAAACAAAGCAAAAAACAAAACCACCAAACATTCGCAATAAAAGGTCTGGGAGTGTGGAAGGCTGAGGGTTCAGTCCCCAGTTCGCCTCCTTCCCCGTGGTTTCAGCTTTCACTATTAAAAGGCGGGTTCCGACGGGCATCTCGGCACATCCCTGTGCATTTCTGTGATTACTCCCAAACTGGTAAATTCCTAGAACAGAATGGCTGAGTGGATGGCAGGGGTCCCAAACTGAATGTTCTGAAATTGCTGGACGGCCTGAGCAAACCCCTCTGCAGCCAGCTTGTGACCCCTGGATGTCCCCAGCCCAGGTGCGGAGGAACCTTCACTTTGCACACAGAGGCAGCCCTTTGGAGAGGTCAGGGCCCTGTTCCAGGGTTGTAGAGCTGATACAACAGCAGGGCAAGAGTCCAAACCGGATGTTCTAGGGCCATGCTTGGTGCCACTACTGTATCACACTGCAAAAAATATACCAAAAAATAACGATGGGGCAGTGCATGGGGAATCCTCTGAGCAGAAGACAGGCAGAACAGAGCAGGCTGAGACACCGAGGCTTGCGGAAGGGAGGAGAGGGCCATCAAGGGTGGTCGTGTGGCCGCGGGGCCAAGGCCCAAGGGTGGAAGCAGCACTTCTGGGCCCTTCTGAGCTAGGGATCAACCGGGAACTTTAAATTCACCCCCCTTTAACACAGCCACCCTGAAGGAAGCAGTTTTCGAGTGAGGAAAAGACGCAGACGCAGGGCAGCTGCACTGCTCTCCTCAGAGAACGGTGAGCGCAGGCCGGGTGACTGGCAGGGAACACAGCTGTCTCCGGCTCTGTCGCCGCCGCGCACCGATTCAGGCTGACTCAGCAGAATCTGGCTGCATGACAGATGGTTGCGTCCAGGATCCAAACGAACCCGAGTAGCAGTGTTTTATTTCTGCTGCGCTAAAGGCTGAAGCCAGGGCCTTGTGCTTGTCAGTCAAGAGCTCAGCCACGGAGCCACATCCCCTTGAGTAGCAACTTTAAAAGAAAGGCAAACGGGTATGACTTCTTTTAGAAACTACTGGCTACACGGACAACTCCAGGAACGGAAATACTGTATTCTCTCCTCTTGCGGGCTCTGAGAGGTTTTCTTTCTGCTCAGCTCTAGACACTGCTGTGGAGTCTGTATTTTTAGGTACCGAAGTCTACTTACAACCCTAAACACGCAGGGCGTCTTCCAGGGAACCCCCGCCTGGGTCCCCTTGGTCCCCCCACCCCCCCACCTCTCAAGATGCCTCAGGTGTCGGCCCAGAGCCAGCGGAGGCGCGCACCACGGCCCGATCCAGCTCAGAACAGCCTGGTCACGGCCCGGGGCTGGAGCTCAGTGGTGCCGCAGCCTGCCTCGCAAGTGCAAGGTCCTGAGTTTGAGCCCCGGGACCAAACAACAAACAACACAAACAAAAACAACCAGGTAATCAACAAAGAAGCCAAAATGATATGAAACCAAACAAAACCAAGCAGCCAAACCTGAAGTAGGAGAGAAGGGAGTTCCCTTCTAGATTGTGTGAGATTGCTACACACTAGGCAAATGCTGGAAAGCAAAGAAGTTTTATCGTATTTTATGGATCCGGGGATAGAAGTCGGGACCTTGTGCTTGTGAGGCGGGCGTAGCGCCTCTGAGCTCAATCCCTGGCCCTTTACTTTTTATTTTTAAGAGGCAAGGTCTTGCCATGTTGCCCGAGCTCCTGTGCTCAAGCAACCCTCTTGCTTTCGCCTTCCCAACAGCTGAGACTGTAGACACACAACACCATGCCTGGTCAAATGGGCAAGTCCTTCTTTTTAAACAGGAAGTCACAGTGATAATCACTGCCTGGTCAGTGAAACTGAGCTGAGACTTGACTGCAGGATGCCTGTTCCCGGAATCAAATGCCATCTCATCTCTGTGTGCACCTCCGGGAGCGCTCAGGGTCTCTCGTTTGAGTTTTGCCGGAGGTGACGGCCAGGACTGATTTACTTCGGAAGCAGCGCGCGGTGCAGCGCCGAAGAGGGCGACACCCCTTGTTCTTGACCCCATCGCGGCTGCCCGGGAAAAGTGTGATTTTGGATGGTTCCTGCCCCTTGCTGTGCCACAGTTTCCTCATCTGGAAAAGAGGGATAATAGTCTCTCTCTGACTGCACTGCTCTGTGGATAAAGATAACCCCTCCACGGCACTTAGCACAACAAAACGTGACTGAAATGCTCAATAAAATTATTTCATGGGGCTGGGGATTTAGCTCAGTGGTTCCAGCGCCTGTCTCACAAGCACAAGGACCTGAGTTCGATCCCCAGCATGGGGTTATCTTATGTCCTTTAGTGTCTGGTAAATTGGGACATGAAAGCTAACCGAAAAAAACCAAAAAACAAAAAAACAAAACTTGAGTCCTTGCACTTGAGAAGCAGGCGGTGGAACCACTGGGCTAAATCCCCGGCCCTCCACAAATTTTTTTAAATACACAGGATGGGATGACTTCCTTGCTACCTTCTGCTTCGCCAGCACGAAGCGGCCAGATGTTAGGCTGGTGCTAGTTGTCCACTGCAGATCTTCTCTGCTACTGAATCGAGGGAGGGGCAGCGCCGCCCGCTTCTGGGCCCCGGCATGGCTGCCCGTGCACCCTGGGTGCGTCCCACGCTGGTTATTTCCACACTGCACGAATGCCGGATCCATCTAAGTCACTGTTCTACTCCTTCTGCGTCCTGTGACGCAGGCACTTTCTGTCCTTCCGAGACGACGTCCAGCCTGCTCTAGCTCAGCCGTGAGGCCTTCTCTGCTCCTCCTGCCAACTCAGAACAGAAACTTTATTTTCAGTGGTCGTGTGAAGTACGGTGATACCTGAACCAGTCGGAAAACAGCCAGGGCACCTGTCCTGATCTCATCTCCACGTCACCAGCTGTGAGCCAGGGAACCAGCAGTCCAGGGAAAATGGTCTACAAACCAAACCAATCCAGTCGGTGTAGTCACAACTTGCCTTCCGCAGGATGTGGTGGAGCAGAGCAGAGAACTGATAAGATATTCGGTGTTAGTTCTATGGATGCTAACTCTGGCTGGTTTTTTTTTTTTGAGAGAGAGAAGGTCTCACTATGTAGTTTAGGAACTCACTACATAGCCCAGGATGGCCTTGAACTCACAGCGATCCTCCTGCCTCAGCCTCCGCAGTGCTGGGATTATAGGTATGAGCCACTAATTCCAGCTTTTCACATGCTTGGTCCTGACTTACTGGAATTATATAACGCAACAACTTCAAAGTGTGCTGAGATTTTTCAGTCATCAAGGATTTAAGGCCACCCGAAGGTAGTAAGTACAGCGCTGTGCTTCTACACAGTCCTGGGACTGTTCGGGTCCCAGGACCGCCAAACGCCAGATGTGACCTTGGACACTGCGCCAACATGAGCCAAGCATCTGCACAAGGCGAGCAGCGGCGCTTGGCCCACAGGGCTGCTTGGTATGCGCGGTACCTGCAGTGGCATCTGGCACATGGTGAACCCTCAGCAGAGGCTGCCGGGTCACTCTCCCGCGCAACAGGTCCCCGACCTCACACAGCAGCTCCCGCAGGCTCTGCCTGCTTCCTCTCTGTCACCATACAGCCTCACCTGTTCCTGCTGTGGCCCCACCTGTGGGCGCTCGCTTCTCCGCCTCCCCTGCTCCCTCAGCCTGCAGTGCTGTTCCTTGCGTCTGCCCAGGCTGTGAAGAGGCTCTGCTTGAAATGAGCCCGAAGGCGAGCACTGTGGTCAGGGAATTGAAGACAATGGGCCAATGTGTTCAGGAAAGATTTTCCAAAGGGGTTTATTAAATAGGTCCTTAGCCAGGTGTGGTGACACATGCCTGTAATCCCAGTACTTGGGAAGCTGAGGCAGGAGGATCCTGGTGTGTTCAAAGCCAGCCAGACTGGGCTAAAGAGTGAGTTCAAGGCCAGCCTGAACTGCACAGAAAAAAGAGCCACTGAAAAAAAAGTTTACTTCAGAGCAAGGTATGGTGGCACCTGCCTTTGATGCCGGCACTCTGGGAGGCTGAGGCAGGATGATCACACGCTCAAGCTCAGCCTGAGCAATTTAGGGAGGCTCTGTCTCAAAGTACAAAAGCCCTGGGGTTCAATTTGCAATACTGGGAAAAAGATTAAAATATTTGGTAACTAGGAAAACCAGTTTATCAGAAATTCTGTAAGGTTCAATTATTAAGTGCTTAATATATATTAGGTCCTTAGCTTAAAATTTTCTCATTTACTCTTCATAATGATACTGCTGGCTTGACATTATTGTCCATTTTTCCACACCCTCCCCCAGAGACGGTCTTGCCATATAGTTCAGGCTGGTCTTGAACTCTGTAGTCTGGGCTGACCTGGAACTCAAGGCAATCTTCCTGCCTCAGCCTCCTGAGTGCTGAGATTACAGTCCTGTGCCAACGCACAGGCTATTTTGGATGTGAAGAAACTCAGGTTAAGTCATCTGTTCAAAGGCCAAAGGACACAGTTTGAACGCTTGTCGACCTGACCCCGCAGGGCTTGGTCAGAGCCTGTGCTGTGTGGCTTCACATCCTGGACGTCTACTTGCCATGTCTCACGTGTCACTTGGGCCCTGCCCCGACAGTGGTGTAAACACACTACCGACCTGGACGTGCAGAGCTGCGGCTCTCCAGTGGGCCGCTGCAGGCTCCCTCCTAGACAGTGTGGGGTGCGGTGACGCCCGGTGACGAAGAAGCCACCCCGCTCAGCGCCCCAGCCGACCTGGGCCCCCTTCACTCCCCGCGCACCTGCCTCATGGGATGCGCTGTCACGCCGCCTCCCTCAGCTACTTCCCTGAGCAGCTCTGCGCTCTCAGGAAGGCGACCTGCAGAACCGGGGCACCTGGGGTCTCCGAGTAACAGGGCGGGAGCTCGCTTGAGGGTACATGAGCCAGTGGTTTCCAGGAATCTGCACCTTCCTCAGCCCCTAGGGTCCAGATTGTCCCTTTGTGTTGTTTAAGCCACCTGGTACCGCATTACGGCAGCCTGCGCTAAGAAAGAACCTTTAAGGATGAAATGACGTTAAAATGGGGTTGTTAAGATGGGCTCTCACCCAACGGGGCCGTGTCCTTGGAAGAGGAAAGTACACAGAGGACACAGAGACACGCAGGCAGGGGCGGCCACGCAGCCACACAGGGGGAAGCTGCCACCCGCCGGCCACGAGGGAGGCCCAGAAGGCCGTGAACCTATGGACACCCCGTGCAGAGACTTGTAGCCTCCAGGACTGCAAGAAGGCCCCCAACTAGGTGTCTGGGTATTTATGATCCAGTTAAAACTTCAAAGCTGGGCGTGGTGGCGCACGCCTGTCATCCCAGCACTCGGGAGGCTGAGGCAGGAGGATGCTGTGAGTTTGAGACCAGCTGCGCTACAGTGAGTTCCAGGTCAGTCTCAATTACACAGTGAGACCCTGTCTCAAAAAAAAACAATAAAACATAAAAAAACTTCAAGCCAGTAATGCCAAATGAATGCGATTGATACGTTTTTCTCCTCTGAACACACACGAATGGGGGGTGGGGATGTAGCTCAGTGGTGTCAGCACCTGCCTGGAGTTCAATTCCCAGCACACAACAGAAAGAAAAAACAAAAAAACACCTATCTGGAAAACATCAACCACCGAGAATCCACGAAGAAATATCACCTCACCTGCTGTTTTTTTCCCAATATTCCATAAATACAAGAATGAGAAAAGTCACCTCTCCCATACAAAGATCCCTGCTACAGCTTAAAAAGGAAGGGTCCTCAAAGACTGGGGTACCGAGGGCTCGATCCCCGCGCAGCGCCGTTCAGGGTGGGGCGGGACAGGGACTGATCAGGACGGTTCCGGCGCGAACGGGCTTCAGGAGGTGGAGAAGGAGCTCTGGTGCGGGCCGAGCAGGGTGCGCCCCATCCCGGCCCCTCCTGCCCTCCACTCCCTGGCTTCCGCGGGGTGAGTCTCCGCCTCCCCGCAGGCCTGAACCCGGGACGGCCTTCGCCCCTAAGCCACGGACGTCAGGCTGCCCGTCCCCGACAGCAAGGTCTCCCCGGGAGGGCGGCGGCCTTACCCAGCGCCTCCAGCTCCTGAACCGCGTCTCTCCAGATGGGCTCGATGTGGGTGCAGCTGAAGCACCAGTCCGACGTGACCTTTATGAGGTACGGCCTCCTGAAGCTGTCAGGAACCACCTCGTTCACGTAGTGGGACAGGTGCAGGAAGTACTTTTCATCAAGCGGGTCCCGCCGTTCCGAGGTGAAAGGAAAGTGAAAAAAGGATTCCTCGAAATAGAAATTTTCATGAAAATGGCGGAAGCGATACTCTCGCCGCTGCTGCTGGCGCTGGTCCTCGCCGGCATCGCCATAGTGATCATAATTTGATCTCTTTTCTTCATTGGAGAGAATCTACAAGGAGGAAAAAGGATAAGAAATCTAAAAAAAACAACAAAGAGGTTTCACACAAAGGAATTTTCTGGCAGCAACTTGAAAGACATACCAAGAAAATACATGTAAAGACTGTGAGGTGATTAGATATCTTTTCTTTTACGGTGGTAGGGATTGAACTCAGGACCTTTGCACTAACCGATATCCCCAGCCCTTTTTAAAAATTTTCTATTTTGAGAAAGGGTCTTGCTGAGTCATTAAATTGCCCACGCTGGGCTTGAATGTGCAACCCTTCTGCTTCGGCCTCCCAGGACGCGGAGATATGGGCATGTGACCGTACCCCAGCTGTGATTAGGTATTGTAAATGCAGTGGCTCAGCACTGGGAGACTCTTCTCTCCGTAGAAACAGTAAAGAAAACTCGGGATCAGAATACTTCCGTTCTTTAGCTAGACCCACTCATCTTGGCACTGAAGATTTGAAACGATCTCAGTCAGCACTTCAGTAAATAAACAAAACATCACACACTGTTCATGGGCTCAAAAACAAGCAAGCTGAATTGGTCACACCTAGTGCGCTGGAATCATTCAGACCAAGGACTGGAAATATATAAATACCAAAGAGCAGCCACAGAACTAGTCCAGCCCCTCGTGTGTTAGCTGACTTGGCTTTACTTAAAAATAACTTTGAGGTACAAGGTTCAAGAATCCATTAGGACGGGTTACTCTATGGCCTAAGCACTGTTTGGTGAAGAGCATCCCCCATACAAATCAGGAAGCCAGGGACTTCTCTGTCATGCATATTTCAGACCAAGTAACTTAAGTTGACCTATTGGAAAACTATCAAAAAGTTGTGTTTGAGTGTACTTGTACCTTTGTGGCATTTTTTTTTTTTTTTTGAGACAGGGTCTCACTATGTAGTCAAGGACCTGGAACTCACTATGTAGCCCAGGTTGGTCTCGAACTCACAGCGATCCTTCTGCCTCAGCCTCCTGAGTGCTGGGATGACAGGCGTGTGCCCGGCTAATATGTGGCATTTCAATAAATATAAGCAAAGTATCACGTGAGTCTTTAACAAAAGTTTCTAAAAAAGGTAATAATACAGACCTTATACCAAGTCATCTTACATCTCTAATTAAAGCCTTTGAGACAGTCCTGCCAGGCATGGCACACAACCGGAATCCCAGCTACACAGGAGGCTGAGGCAGGAGGACTCCAAATTCAAGGCCCATGTGGCAACTTAGTGAGAACTTGTCTCAAAATCAAAACTAAAAAAGGATGGGGATGTAGCTCAGTGATAGAGCAGCCCCGGATTCAATCCCCAGCAGTCGGGGGATGAGGTGGGTAAAAGGCCAGATTTTTGGGCTGGGAATTTATTTATTTATTATCTCAAAATCAACTAAAAAAGGATGGGGATGTAGCTCAGTGATAGAGCAGCCCCGGATTCAATCCCCAGCAGTCGGGGGATGAGGTGGGTAAAAGGCCAGATTTTTGGGCTGGGAATTTATTTATTTATTTTTCACTTTTTTTTTTTTTTGGTACTGGGGATCGAGGCAGGCGGTGGAACCACTGAGCTGGGCTGGGGATTTAGCTCAGTGGCACTGTGCCTGCCTTGCAAGTGCAAGGTCCTGAGTTTGATCCCTGGTACCAAAAAAGAACAAAAAAAGTCATATTTCTCCAAGAGTTCAAGTGTTCAGGCACTTGTTCCAGCACATTTGATGTGGCCAGGTATATTCTCTCTAACATTATTTGGAAACCAGGTCGGGGCCTGGGGACATGGACTTCCGGAGCAGGCATTATCAAGCTGATCACCACAGGAACATTTTAGTAAGAGCCAAGGGATGACGGGCCGGGGATTTGGCTCAGTGGTTCCGCCGCCTGCCTCCCAAGTACAAGGTCCTAAGTTTGATCTCCGTTACAAAAAAAAAAGCACAATACCTCGTAAGCCTTGCTGATCTGGATGAACTTGTCCGAGGCCCCAGGATCTCTGTTTTTGTCAGGATGCCTGAAACACACATGCACGGCCAGTGAGGATTTCATTTTCCACACACAGTTCACGACATCACAGGCAAATGGGCCACTGCGTTAGGACAGCTGCCTAAAATAAACAGTGGAAGCAGATGACGGCTTCACATGCTGCAGTAAGTGAAACTCTGGGACAGGTGTTTTCTCAGAACGCTCCAGCTGGGTACATTTTCAAAGCACAAGGGTGCGAGAGCATTTCATCGCAGAGGCAGACGTGAGCATCTTTACGCTGCTTCCTAGCTGTGCAAAGGGGTTCAGGGCTCAGACCCTTAGCCACACAATGACACCAGTATTTCCTCCCCGTATTAGAGTGAACCGGGCCAGGGATGTAGCTCAGTGGTGCTGTGCATGCCTGACAAGTGCAAGGTCCTGATTTCCCCGATGTTGGTACCAGAAAAAAAGAAACAAAAACACCAAATCAGAATGCTTTAGTATTCATTACTCCTCCTCCTGTAAATGGATAATGGTTTCAAGGCCATGTTTGTTTGGTTTTGCTTTTTTGAAACAGGGTCTCACTATATAGTTCAGCCTGGCCTTGAGCTCATTATGTAGCCCAGGCTGGCCTCAAACTCACAGCGATCCTCCTGCCTCAGCCTCCTGAGTGCTGGGATTACAGGCATTTGTCATCACATCTGGCTTCAAGGACACATATTTAAGATGTTAAAAAAAATGTTTATGCAAAGTTAACTTAATTAAGAGAACTGATTTTCAACCTGGCTGTTATCTATAGCTGGCATTTAACGGTCTTAAGGTCACCTATCATTCTGTAATCCTTCTGTGTTTATACTTGTTTCAATTTTGGGGATTCGGGAGTTTTGAAAAAGGACTCAGTTAACTTTCTCGCAGCCTTCTACGGTCTAAGCCAATGTTTTGTATAGACTGATGTTTTTCAACATTCACTTTATTAAAAGACTTTTGCTGGTACCGGGGATGAACTAAGACCTTGCCCTTGCGAAGCAGGGGGCGGAGCCACGGAGCCCGACCCTGGCCCCAGGGCCCATTCACGTCATCAATTTTGCTCCTGTCTCCTCAAGTTCCTCTAGCACAGGTTCTGGAAAGAAAAAAACAGCTCTCAGGGAGGTAAATGACCATTAAAAACACACCAAGTGCACCGGAGGAGGGGAAAAAACAAATCTCCAATTTGACCAATTTACCCTAGGAGGGGCGTCTGAACGAACCGCCACACACATTCCAGTCGCTCTGAAACCAGGGACACTTACATTGGTTCACTACTGCATTGGGGCACTGTTTCCTGAACCACTGAATCCTTGCTGCGAATACGGGTGGGGTAAAAAATCCCGGGCGGGAATAATGAAAACAGCAGGATGCGATTCCAAAGCGTGTTTCTGGATGACCAAAAAAATAAGGAAAGAAAGGAAGAGAAAAGGTGCCTTCTATACTGAACCTGAAGACTAACGTCGGAGCGGCCAAAGCGATGCGACTGCACACGTGATTTAACACGGCGAGTCTGTGGGGGACAAGGGCGGCAGGGGGCTCCTCAGGACGCCGGAGTGGAAAGAGCCTCGCAGGCACCTGCGTGGGAAGCAGGGGTCCTGCAACAGGGCGGCCAAGGCTCAAGAACAAAGGATCGCACGGGACGCTCACTGACTCCCACGGGGAGACAGCGCGAGGCGGGGGACCCGAGAGCCCAGGAGCGCTGGCGGGCCGGCTTCTCAGCGACTATGAAATCACCTCACAAACAGCAATCTTGACCCCTCAAAGGGAAGAAAACATCGGCGTATGGTGTCTACCAACTGCCGGTGACCTCTAAAGGAATCCAAACACGACAGAAGGAGACGTGGCAAAGAACAGGACAACTTACTCTGGCTGACCGAAACCGGGTGATATCAACTGGCTTTTCATGGGGTAGGAATTATTTTGCTTTAATAAGGATGACAGAAGGAAAGTGCTTATGATAAAACTTAATTATGGGGAGAGAAACAGTTTTTCTAAGGGGAAAAAGGAAATTTCAAATGGTTTCACCATTAAGAGAAAATTCTTGTAAAGTTTAAGAAACACTTGAGTAAAACGCTTAGTAAAATATAACCCAACAATTCACCGTTTGCTTGTCCCTGCTACAGCTCACTCTGAAAAGTCAAACTGGGCAACACTGCTATCTTTCAAAGTATGTGAAACCATCACAAAATGAAACTGAAACCAGTCCAAGTGCTAAAACATTTCTATGGCCAAAACCACAGGCAACGATAGTACAGTACAGATGTAAGAGTAAAATAAAATTCTAGACTTTCACAAGATGATATTCTAGATATCTATGGTGATGAATTACTCGTGGAAAGGCTCTAATTAAGGAAGAGAATGACTCATTTAATTAATATAATACTCTTTTCAGCTCTGGAAGACAGAAAAGTCAAAGCAGTACATTTTAACAAATCCCACGACCTCAAGCTATCGTTTCTGCACCGAAACTACTGTCAGAGGCTATACGCTCTCTAAAGAATGTTGTTCTTCCTGGGCACGGTGGTGTACGCCTGTAATCCCAGCACTTGGGAGGCCGAGGCAGGAGGATCGCCCAGAGTTCAAGGCCAGCCTGGGCTACACGGTGAGTTCAGGGCCAGTCTGAAACACATAGTGAGACCCTGTCTCAAAAAAAATAGGAATGTTGCTGTTTATAGATTAACTACAGGTATCTATCTATATTTTGCTTCTAACAGAGGCAGGAGTTTAAAATATTCCTGAAAGCAAGTTTGGCGTAGAGTCCTGTGGTCACACATAAGCAGAGGTTGTCTTTTCAATTCTGGATTACTCATGATATGAATATGGTCTAAAATATTTATTCAAAATATTATATTTTAAGCTATTTTTTGGGGGGTAACCAGGGATCAAACTTGGGTCCTTGTGCTTGTGAAGCAGGAGCTGGAACCACTGAGCTAACCCCGGCCCCCTTTTAAACTATCTACCTTGACTGAAATTGAGGTTTATCTGCTTACTGAAGAAGGGGCTGGGAAGAGCCCCAAACAGCCTGAGACATTATCTGCGCGTGGCTGTTTCCCGCTCTTATTCAGCCCCCTCCCTCCCAAATGCTAGCCCACCATCCTTACTCTTGCCCAGATGGGCAAATAATTAAAAACCAAACAGGGGCCGGGGATTTAGCTCAGTGGTGCCACTGCCTGCCTCACAAGTGCAAGGTCTTGAGTTTAATCGCTGGTACAAAAAAAAAAAAAGAAAAAAAAGAAAAAAAAGATTAATGTAAAAACCAAACAGCAAAAAATGAAGTGTTGATACAGAAGGTCAGGTGTGGAGCCCAGAGGTAACGTGGATTTACCATCTCTGAATGCACAACACTGGTTCAGCAATCTGCTCTTTCATAGAGCGTCAAGGTTTCCACGGATCACACACAGAGCTCCAAGGCCGGCATCCTGTACGTGCTCAGCATGGAACTTGGCACAAATTTTCTTTCACTGCCTACAGGTGGCTCAGCAAGCTGGCCAGTGGCGCTCTTTTCCATCTTTCTTTCCTCCTGCTGCCCCCACCCGGCCACATAATCTAGCACTTCTGCTTCTTTGGTATGGCCCGAGCTTTGGTGGGAGAGGCCAATGATGTACATCGCAATAAGTGCCAGGCTTACTGCTCTCTTGCTAATGGCTATCCTCACAACTACGAGATAAAATTATGATTTCACTAAAAGAGTTCCTTAAAAAATAACATACTTGGTCTCTGAGTATCTTCTCTCCCCTTACTGGGAACTAAAGTCAGGACTTTGTGCTTGCCAGGCAGGTGCGGTGCCACTGGGCTGCACCCCCGGTCCCGAGTATACTTTTTTAATCGAGGGCAAAATGCTCTCTTTTTAATTTTTTCTTTTCTTTGCCGTATTAGGGATGGAACATTGGGTCTCCTTGATGCTAGGCAAAGGATCTACCACTGACCTATCCCCATCAGCCCTCTGTATTTTGGGATATGATCTCGCTAAATTGCCCAGGTTAGTCTTGAACTTTCGACCCTACTGCTTCAGGCTCTAGAGTAGCCAGAATTATGAGTGTGCGCCACCATGCCTGGCTTAAACTACTTTTGTTGTTGTTGTTGTTTTGAGACACTCTTTTGCTGTATAGCCCAGGCTGGCCTTGAACTTGTGGGAATCCTCCTGCATCAGTCACCCAAATGTTGGGATTAAGCAGGTTTTTTGACCTGGAACTGTCTATGTAGCCCCGGCTGGTCTGGAACTCACAGCGATCCTCCTGTCTCAGCCTCCCAAGTGCTGGGATTATAGGTGTGTGTCACCACACCTGGCTTTAAATAGGTTTTTAAAGCTTAAAAATTAAAAATCAGTAATTTAGAATTGGGATATAGCTCAGTGGTATAGTACTTTCCTAGCTTGCATGAAGGGCCTTGGCTTTTCATATCACCTCTCTCTCTCTCTCTCTCTCTCTCTCACACACACACACACACACACACACACACACACACACACACGGAGAATAAGATTGAGTAGTGTTCCCCTTAGCATTTAAACTCATTTTCTTTGTGAATAATGTACCCCGGGAAGGGGAATGTATCCATTGTTGATTATGTGGTTTTAAAAGAATTAAACTTGTTTCTTACTTCAATCTGCTAATGGTATCTATAGCAACCCTTGAAGCCACAGTATTCTGAAAAGGAAGTTTCATGGTAAATGTAAGCTTTGGATCTTATCCCCCAAATTACAGAACATGAACGCAAGTTCTACGTATTCTAGACATACACATATATATATATATATTGAACAGAGAAACAGAGAGAAAAAGACACATTATAATTATAAGCTAATCATAACTCAGGCTTCATTCTCCTGGTTAGACCGCTTAGCTTGTATTAAATTTCCATTTCTTTATTTCACCTACCATTCCCGGGCGAGCTTCTTATAAGCCTTTTTAATATCAGCCTGACTGGCTGTTCGGCTGACCCCTAGGACTCTGTATGGGTCAAAATCCAACGCAGACAGAATTTGCAGGATCAGAACCAGAACTATCAAGAACTGCCAGGAAATGCTCAACTTTTTCACTTCCATTTGTCTTCCTTCCCAGAGCTGAAATGAAGAGGCAGTGAGTTTCAGGGGCAGAAACCTGGACAGTCTTGTGGTAGATGAAGGTATAAGATACACAGATGAAAAACAGAACAAACAAAAGAGGTTTTGCAGGAAATGTGTCAAGCTGTGCGACCATCTTTTAAAGTCAGTAGTCTTGCTACCACCTTTGAATATCAAAATTAAGAACTACCATAGATGAAAAGATGAGTAATAAGAATTAATAGCAACTCTCCAGGACCCCTGGATTAGAAACGCTTATGACTCAAAATGAGGGAGATGAAGAATAAGTGCATATGTGGGAACAAATTTCATCCACCTTGACAATAAACTTCAACAGTTTAAACCGGGCGTGGTGGCGCACACCTGGAATCCCAGCACTGGAGGCTGAGGCAGGAGGTCACTGAGTTCCAGATCAGCCTGGGCTACATAGTGAGCTCCAGGTCAGTCTCAACGACACAGTGAGACCTTGTCTCAACACCCCCACCCCCCAAAAAACCCAAATGGTTTAAGAACACTGCAGCACACACATGTTAAATAAGTCCATGAAATCGTAAGACTCATCACTTGCTAAACTACAGAATGAAATCACTGTGGAGTTCGTTGGCGTTAAGTTCAAATATGAACTTTTAAACAAACAGCTAAGATTTTATTTGCTTCAATGATATTCTTCCTCACCACATCCGTTCAACCAAAAAAATGAGAAGCCACTCTTTAATTCGGTCATTAGCAACCTGGTCATTATAAATTAAAATTTTAGATGAGAACACGTGGTGAGAAAAAAATTTAGTTTGCCATGTAAAGAATTCACGACTCAGACTGAAAATTGGCATGGCCTTAAAATGTGTTAAGCTCTTTCTGGCTTGGGAAAGAATTCTAGCTTGTCACTGAGCAAGGCAGTGGGTATTGTAGTGTTGGTTGTAGATATTTAGACTCCAGGATTACGACCTTCGTAATACCACACAACGTTTTTTAATACCATACCCTTTTACATAAACGTATTGCCTTGACTATTCACAAATTAATACGCATGTAACGTGACACTTTAAGAGGGGCAAAGCTGCTATAGCGCTGGACTTTGACAGGTGGAGGACTAATGCTGGCCAGAGTCCCCACAAAACCGACTGATCCGGTGACCAATGTTAAAGCTGCACGTGTGCCGAATAAAACCCTAAAGCAAATCAGTTTCCTCCTTAAGGCAACTGTGGTGTCGTGCAGAAAAAGTGAGGCTATGCACCTACTGCTCAAGCACATGATCCGTGGAGTCAGGCTAGGATTGGGATCCGTTCTCCACAATTCTATGACCTTGGGGTAGTTAAAGGTACTGTCTGTGTCCTTAGTCACAAAACGGGAATGAATGACTAACACAGCCACCTTGAAGGGTCGTCATGAGGGACTAAGTGCACGTAACAGATTTACTTAACAGGGAGTCGTCCACAGTCAACAGTGGTCGTATTACTTCTCCCATGCAGTGCGTTCACTGTTTAGTCCCTTCTACTTAGCGGTGACGGAGGTGGCTGTGAAGTTCTTTTGCCGACAGTTTCCAGTTCCACGGCGCCGGCCTCAGGCAAGGTGACAACCTGCCCAACAGGTAGGCTGCCGCCTTCGGGCAGTATCCCCAGGCCCGGCTGAGGCTCTCGGCGACGCGCTCCGAGTCCG